TATTATGCGTAAATATGTATTTAGTATAACAAATTAAATTTAAACGAAAATATGGAAGAAGCATAGGAAGAAAGAAGAATAGGAAAAAATTGAAAATGAACAATAATAATTTTTTTTTTTTTCATTATTGCATATCGTTTTTGTAAAAATAACCCACCTTAAAGGACTATCTGTCGTTTTCTTCTTTGCCACAGTGGACGAAAAAAAGTCAGTTATTCTACGACGTTTCGTAATTCTTTATCACTAAAAATTAACAAACACGCGTTTTGACGCAGTCCGTTCTGTTGTGTGTGTGTCTGCTATTGAAAACAACCTTCCTAATTTTGTGACTGGCTATGATTACTGAGATGGACCATGTTGACTTATTAATAATATTTTGTTTGGGATGGAAAAAAGGAGTCAATTTCCCAAAAATGCTCGATCAGCAAATAGGTTAGTGTGCGCTGTGGACAGTATGGCTATGGAATTTACTAACCACACAGTCCAGAATCAGGTGATTAAGTAGCAAAACTTTAGCTGCATTTGGTGGATTAAGTCGCAAAACTTTAGCTTCGTTTAGTGGCGCCATTTCTCTAGGTAGACGGCGACCAGTTTCGTTACCGGTTGGTACATTCTTACAAACATTCAGGCAAAGGCCAGTCAAAGTTGAGACGGGAGCCGGGTTTTTATCGATGTTTGCCATCCTTATATGTAAGCCATCGTAAATTCATGGTTTGCCAGAGTTGCGTTCAATTTAAATCCCCGCACTTCTGAAGCTGAGATATTCTATGAATGAAGCTTGTATCGCAGGCTAGAATTGTTTTTTTCTCTTTTGTGGGAATTTCACCCACCTTTATTTCTTTCTCTTTTTGTTATTTTTTACATTTTTTTTTTGTCATCAACGACATAAAAAATATCAAGAATCAAGGAAATTAAAATTAAATTGCACAGGATATGGGGGTCAGTCCACCATGGCTGACTAAATTGTTCAACTTCGGTTTTACCTGCATTATCATTTACGTTAACATTCTAAATTAAATCGTTATCTCAAAAACAATTTTTAAAAAAGTGCATCCATTCAGAATTGTGTATACGATTTAGAACACATACAATGTGCAGATCCACTCATATACATATAGTACATATATGTGTATACATACGCACCTTATTATCATACACACATAAACATTTAATATTTAATTTTTTTTCTTAAATTTATTTATTTATTTTTTTCGAAATAACACCATATAACTTTCTCATATACATTTTAAGTTTAATACATTTACCTACACACATACAGTAGTACAAGTTCGGATAATCATGCTGACCAATAATGTTTCTTTATAATGCACCTATTATTATCTGCATATATCTATATAAATACACATATACAAAAACACTCACATACATACTCATGTACATATACCTACATATACACATACACATACATATACCCATACACCCATATACACATACACACACATACATAAGTCTATATTTAGAATAGAATTTAAAAACGGGTCACCAAATAATGAATTAGGTGCTAAATTTTGATTTAATGCTAGGTAAGTTAAAAACAGACATTCCGTCTGAGTGGGACTCATTCAAAAATTTGAGGGGGTTCGCTAGAAAACAGGGGGGTTCGCTAGAAAAGGGGGGTTCGCCCGAACCATAACCCCCCCCCCCCTGGCTACGGGCCTGGAACCAAAACAAACGCACGAAGATAGGCGATTTACACAGTAATTTAAGAAAATAGCCTTTACTAAAACGTCTCGTACACGTTTTTTGTGTAAAGTTGAGCGCGATTTAAATTTACAGAAACCATGTTACATGTTTATGAATGTAACGTAATCTTTTCTCTATGATAAGAAAGTATAATACATACTCCAAGTATTGAAATACACGCCATCGTGTTGGGATTCAATATTTCGACATTAATTATGTCATCATCAGGAATGATGACATAATTAATGTCGAAATATTGAATCCCAACACGATGGCGTGTATTTCAATACTTGGAGTATGTATTATACTTTCTTATCTGAGATTAATCAGTGGACCTTTCGGTCTTTTCTCTATGATTGTGAAATATAACGAGAATAAATCGTACTATTTTGGGAATAAAACGTACATTGGTCGTGTCTGCCTGTGTTACAGCACGACGACGGCAGCCGTGTATTCACTCACAGTGAATCATGGTCGGTCGATGAAGCACGGAGCTTAACGTTTACAGTCAGGCCTCACTCAATCATCACATCTAGCCATGTCGCGTTGTCGTGCAACAAGTGTCAGGGGCCGAGGCCTAGCCTGTAAAAACTCTACGTATATTTAACTTAATTTTACATGAAAATCAAATCAAACGTCTTCTGATAGTTCTATGAACCTTTTTTAACCTACCCATGTTTTAAAAAGTATATTTCCCGCGTACTTTGGTTTTTTTGCTTGTTTTCCTGGACCATACAAAAACT